CACTGCACAAGTTTTTTATTCTTTCAGTGCCAAGATAAATTTACCTTTGACGGATGCCTGTCAAATACTAGAATCTCCACTATCCATTACAATTCTGGCATTTGTCAGATGAATAACTGGGCAAGACTTGATGTTACCCCAGCGTTTCATATTTCTGATTTGTATGTGTTGTACCATGTACTTAATATAAAAAGTATACTGTTCACCAAAAGTTTCACACAAAAGGAAGAACTACAAAGATATGCCAGTCTCCCTGCTTTCCTATTTCAGTCTCACCACACTATAGAAGCATAACCTTCCCAGCTTGGTCAGTTTTCTGGCTGTGCTGGGAGACCAACCTGCCTGTCCTCCAATGATCAAACTTGTGCTGACACAGGCACTGCACAGATATTCATTGGGAAGATCAGTGTACTGCCCCTTTTAACAGCAGCAGAGAACAGAGATTCTATGATCACATTTAAAACAGAAAGATAAGGTATTGGATGTATGTGTGTGTGTATGTACCGTATTTATTCGAGTATAACGCGCACTCGTGTATAATGCGCACCCCTAATTTTCGATTAAAAATCGGTATATAAAATTTTTGTTTCACTTTTCCTCGGCTCAGACCAAGCATTGTAATTGACAAACGTTGTTGAACACGTGCGGCCATGATAAAAATCATTTATTGACAAGGTAAACACAATACCGAAATAAAATTACCGGTAACAATATTTATTTAAAATGCTTCAAAGTCAGATTCATCATCATCAGATACACTAAAGAGTTGTTCCCATTCTTCTAGAGTTAATGTATCATCAGTGTCCCAGTTGGCAGGAACATCTGTTTCTCCAGCTTCTTCGCTTTCGCTTTCTTCTGAGTCTGAATTCCACAGCAGGTCGTCTTCTGTGCCGTCCAGTTTATTGCTGATGCCTGTTTTTAAAAAACTCTTGATGATCATTTCTTTTGGCATGTCTTCCCATGATGTTTTAATCCAAGATGTCACGAGAGATAGGCCAGGTTTCTTGAGGTTTCCTTTTGCAGTCAATTCTTTGTCTTCGGATTTCATCCAGGTAATCCACTTTTCCCTGACTCTGTCTTTGAAGGGTTTGTTTAAAACAACATCGAGTGGCTGAAGAATAGAGGTTAGTCCACCTGGAATCACAGCTTGAAATGTCTTTAGACTTTTCAGTTTGTCTTTCACAGTGTCTGTCAGGTGTGAGCGGAACTGGTCCCATACAAGCATGGATTTCTTCAGTAGTGCGCCTGGTCTAGTATTCCAAACTTTATTTAACCATAAAATGATGCCCTTCTCATCCATCCATCCTTTAGGATGACAATGGATCACGACACCTGGTGGAAATTTAACTCCTTTTGGAATAGTCTTTCTTTTAAAAATCACCATTGGTTTAAGTTTAAAACCGTCTGCCATACAGGATAACGCAACCGTAAAATGAGTTTTCTCATGGCCTGTGGTTTTAATCTGGACTGTGTGCTTCCCTTTGCTGTCAATTGTCCTGTTGCCTGGTAGGTCAAAACACATGGGGGTCTCATCCATATTGCCTATCTGTGAAATTTCAAAATGAATCTGCTTGCGTTGTTTGATTATAAAGGTATGGAATGAAGTGATCTTCTCTGCTAAATCATTTGGCAGCTTCTGCGCTATCTTTGTTTTCTGGCGTATTACAAGTCCATGCCTTTTCATAAACTTTTGTGTCCATCCATTAGAGGCTTTGAAGGTTGAATCTTTGCAAAACTTTTGGGCTTGAAGTCTAATGTGGAGTGATGTGACAATGTACCCACTACTTCTTTGGTCAATGATCCATTCATAAAGTTCCTTCTCCATGTCTGGGTACATGGCTTGTCTCCCTCGTTGTGCTTTTTTGCTTTTATTCATATCTTTCAGGACGACTTTCTGTTTTCTCCATTCTCTAACATTCGTCTCTGGTACAGTGAATTCTCGGCTAGCTGCTCGATTTCCGTGAATTTCAGCATGACCAACAACTTTGAGCTTGAATGAAGCGTCATATCATATGCAGAACGTTTTCTCTTGATTCCCTGAGTTGCCATCTAACGGGTACCAGTATATCAATAAATAATATGAACACTGAATATGATTATCAAATGAAGAACACAGCAAAACAGCAATGCTTACCGTAACGCGTGGGTGAGGAAAGGAAATGAAGAAGCGACCATACGAAATGAAGAGGCACAGGGGACGTTTTTTCTTCTTCTTTCTTGTGAGCACATGCGCCCTCAATGGACCGGCCGCCACTGCGTCACCCCACCAGTGCATCTCGCCAGTTCGGGCCGCCCACTGTACGCGACAAGGGGACGTAGAAAAAAAAAACTATCCCCTGCTTAAAGGGGCGGGGCCGGCACAGGGGACGTTTTTTTTTTTTCTTCGCGTACAGTGAGAGCCTGCGCCTGCGCCCTCAATGGATCGGCCGCCACCGCGTCACCCCACACCAACCCTCGTTTATAACGCGCACCCAAACTTTGAGTTCTTTTTTTGGTTGAAAATTTTGCGCGTTATACTCGAATAAATACGGTATGTATGTGTGTGTGTGTGTGTGTGTGTGTGTGTGTGTGTGTGTGTATATATATATATATATATATATATATATATATATATATATATATTACACACACATACACATACACACATACCCATTTTACTTGCATTTCTATTTTGAACTAAATGGGTTGTTTTACAAGGTAAGGGTTCACTTTAACATAAGGGGTCTAATATCTGTTCTCAGTCTAGGCCTTCACTTTAAGAACTTTAAAGCACAGTGTAACTACATGTTACTTTGTCCATCACAGTTTTTTAAGTGAAGAAATATCGATTACTTTCTGTATTTCATGTCATGGTACAATTCACATTATATATGGGCTATTCATGAGGTGGATCCATTAGTTTTATAAAGGTTTCGGCAGCTGCTTAGAATCAAGTGAAACTTGTACTGTGAAAACATTAAAGACTTCTGCTGAACTATCTTCGGAAATGCCATTTTCCTATCATTGCTGATTCAGTGGTTTCTTTGCTGCCTGAGTCACTGACCAGGAACAAGTGTGCAGGTAAGTAATTCAGACTTGGTAATCTGCATACTTGTTCCAGGTCAGAAACACAGAAAATAGTGAGGCTGGATATAGCCAGACAACAAGGTTTTTGTAGAAGGATAACTTGAAGGTGTGTATGATATTTTCCTAGAAATACGAAGGGATGCTGATACTTACAAAACTTATCAGCACCCCCTAGTATAAGGCATTAGGTGTATTGGGTATGATTGAAGATGCCTCTAGAAGTGATCTAAAGCAAATGTAATTCTTTGGTTTGTGATGTCTATTCCTTGTTGAGGTTAGACATTTTTATATACACCACCTAACATCAATGACCAGTACTACATGGACCTTAAAGAGGGGGATGTACTCCAAAAGCTTGTCCTTTTAAAAATTGTTTGTTAGTGCAAATAAAAAAAAAAAAAGTACAGACTGTATTCAATTGTTTGTCTTCAAATCAACAATTCTTAATACTACCTTGTATAACATTTGTCTTGTCTTCCAAGGATCCAGGTTGCTGGTAGCCACTCCAAAATTATTTTGAGGCTTTATTTTAGTACTTTTGACCAGAGTAATGTGGACAGAACTATGTTCACACATTCTACATACGAGTTTAAAATTATGCAAGAAAAAATATCCAAGGGTTGTGGACTACCTACCCTCAGCCCCAGCTCACATATATGTGAATTGGATGTGTTTTGAACCACATCTGATTCATATGTCTTGTGAACCAAACCGGCCTTCTATGGAGCTAGTTCACGTATGTGCAGGCCGGCTGCAGTCCGATTTTGTAAGCGTCCGGTTCAGGTGTGATTTCCAGTGTCATACACTTTAAAAATTTGCACCTGAGCCGCTGAACGAAACCGTATTGGACTCTTTAAAAATTGCAATGAAACCGGCCCAGGGGCGGACTGACCATTCAAGCACTCGGGCACTGCCCGAGGGCCCGGGGTCAGTAGGGTGCCCCATGAGATGCCCCTGGTACCTTTTTAATAGGCTTTTTCATAGGCTTTTTTGGGTGTGGGCAAGGACACGGGGGCCCCATGATCCCCTATTGCCCAGGGGCCCCATGAGTTATCAGTCCACCCGTGAACTGGCCCCACACATATGTGAACCAGGTCTCAGGCTTCAATTGCCTGAATACTCTAGGCTACACCACTGTGCAAGCTGCTAACTATAATCATGAAAATGTTTTATTCATACCTGTTTTGCCTTCTCCACCATTTTCTGAAATCATTACATTCAGACATGTAGACCTGAGTGAGGGAGGTTGCTTAGAGCGAATGGCAAGAGACCACTGTCTGTCCAAAAGTATTATGCTTGCTTTTAGTGACAAGGAATTTTTGGAGATATTTGCATCCACACAAATATTTTAATCTGAAATAGTAGTGACCAGTACCTCCATAATCAACTATGTAGGAGATGGATGAACGAATTGTTTAGCATTTTTCAAATGTCCTATGTTTGCACAGTGTACTTAAATAAGGTTTTGCGGAAAATACATGCATGGAAAACCATTTGCCTTCTTTGTTGCAAGACACAAGATGGAAAAGGAAATGACAGTTCCAAAAAGATTAAAACCGGTGCTAACCACCAAATGTAATTGGAAAAGCCAAGCTTGCTGTAGTTAATTACATCCTGTTGAATGTGTACATAATCTAAATCTTTCAACACTTGACTCTCTCTAATGGAAGAGATATATTGAAATGGACACTGTTTATTTTAACACCACTCAAACAAATGTGATTTAATGACCTTCCCTTTTTTTTTCTTTATGGATATATATTCCACAATATACACTGGATATTCTTTTAGACAGTAAGTCTAAAACAGTCAATCTAAAATCAGAAAAGTTTTGATGGCATGAGCAAACATATTTTTATTCAGTTAACATATGAATATATCATTGACATTCCTTTTATTGTTGTTTTAATAATATTTATAACTGGGAAATGCAGGACTGAAAGATCGAGAAGTGGCAAAACGAGAATCAAAAGACTCTGAAACTGATTCAGGAACAACCTCGGAGAGTAAGTTTAAACTGTGTTGTATTCAGGTCTCTATTACATTCACAAACCTTCTTATCTTAGTTTTCCTTAATTTATGTTGATTTTACTTTTTCTGTTTGTGTGCGCACACTTGCCAAAAGTATTGGGACAGCCCTCCAAATCATTGGATTCAGGTGTTCCAATCACCTCCATGGCCACAGGTGTATAAAATCAAGCACCTAGGCATGCAGACTGCTTCTACAAACATTTGTGAAAAAAAGGGGTCGCTCTCAGGAGCTCAGTGAATTCAAACATGGTACCGTGATGGGTTAACACCTGTGCAATAAGTCCATCCATGAAACTTCCTTGCTACTAAATATTCCACGGTCAACTGTTAGTGATATTATAACAGAGTGGAAGCAACTGGGAACAACAGCAACTTAGCCACAAAGTGGTAGGCCACTTTAAATTACAGAGTGTGGTCAGAGCATGCTGAAGCACACAGTGTGCAGAAGTTGCCAACTGTCTGCAGAGTCAATAGCTAAAAACCTCCAAACTTTGTGTGGCCTTCAGATTAGCACAACAGTGCTTAGAGAGCTTTGTGGAATGGGGTATCCATGGCCGAGGAGCTGCATCCAAGCCTTACATCACCAAGTGCAATGCAAAGCGTCGGATGCAGCAGTGTAAAGCACACCACCACTGGACTCTAGTGCAATGGAGACCTGTTTTCTGATGTGACCAATCACTTTTCTCTGTTTGGCAATCCAATGGACGTGTCTGGATTTGGCGGCTACCAGGAGAGTGGTACTGGCCTAACTGCAATGTTCCAAGTGTAAAGTTTGGTGGAGGGGGATTATGGTGTGGGGTTGTTTTTCAGGGGTTGGGCCTGGCCCCTTAGTTCCATTGAAGGGAACTCTTAAGGCATCAGCATACCAAGACATTATGGACAATGTCATACTCCCAACTTTGTGGGAACAGTTTGGGGATGGCCCCCTTCCTGTTCCAAAATGGCTGCACACCAGTGCACAAAGCAAGGTCCATAAAAACATGGATGAGCGAGTCTAGGGTGAAGAAACTTGACTGATCTCAACCCGATAAAACACCTTATATAAATAACACTCGCTGATGGTGGATATATTTCGCCAGATATAAAAAATGGTCTGTACCTAGAGCAGCTTGTTTTTTAGCAGTCATTTTCATTGTGCAGGTTAGAAAATGTGTGTAAGTTTCTGGTTGCTGAGGGTAATACACACAGATACAAATACCACTGGTACATGAGGGCACACAGATACAAATCTCACTTGTACATGAGGACAAGGGATGCTGACATTAATAAAGGATAACTCCCACTTTTTTGGCAAATAAAAAAAAACCCATATATATAGCAAATGCAATTGCTACACAGGTTGTATTGTAATTGAATAATAATAAAAATTACCTTTCCTTTTTTAATCTGCAATGCTGTAATTTTGTGTAAAATGCAATATGGCAACCTGGAGGAGTTCCGTACACAGGTTTATGGAACGCCCCCAGAAATGTAATTTCCTGCTTGTTTAATTGGCTTACTGATTTTCCCAGAAGTCTGCACTAAGATATGTCAGGTTTTGGGCATCCCCTGCATTAAAAATAAGAAGGAAGATAGACTGATTTGGGAATCTGGATTATGCCACTGGAGTCCCCAAGAGCTGCAAGTATCTGATTCAGTCTGCTGGAATCCACCTAAAATATGAGTAGCAGTATGACTTACCACACCCACTAGCTTCTAAGGATAGGTTTACACTAATGCGGTGCGTTACATCACGTGATTCGCACAGGAACCGCACCGCATTCCTGTGCAATTCACATGCGATTTGTGTGCGGTGTGATTGGAGCCATACATTATGTATGGGTCAAATCGCACCGCAAAAAAAAACCCCACATCACACCATGTTTTTTATGGACTGATTTCAGGGTGTTGTTATTATACACACCGCATGAACGGGGTGCGATTCTGATGCGGTGTGGAATTCACACAGAAAACGCTGTAAATTCCCGGACCGCATCAGTGTGAACCCAGGCTAACTTAAAACTGATATCAGTCTGTTATAACTGATCAGGAGATACTATGATCTCTAATATTAAAACAGATTTTGCCTCCATTCACACTATGTAGCAGTATTTGCATGTGCACATTTTCACACTTGACACAGGGCAGCCAAAGCATTTCACCTGTGATCCACTGATTGGTGCTGCAGGTACGATATATATGTAAAGCGCTGTGTAAATTGATGGTGCTATATAAGTATCTGTAATAAATTAATAAATAATGTGTTTATGTGGGGGAGGGGGGGGGGTTAGTGGAGCATTTTCTACCCTAATGCAGGAAATGCATTAAAAAAACACAAATTTTAGACTTAACAAATGTACAAGTTTACTAGTATAAAAAAATCCTCCCCCCACTCCTCTTTGTGTGATGTTGAGGCATACTAGATAAGAAGGGGGAGGGGGGATCCCATATGAAATTTAAAGGCAACTCAATGATAACACTGGGCTGTGAAGGTTCCCAAAGTGCTCAGGATAAATGCTGGGGAACTGAGGTGCTCTGCTCTTGATGTTACCATGTTATTTTGTCCTTGTGTGTTTTATGCATGACCGGTTCATCTAACCAAAAGTGAGGAATAGCTGGCACACTGAACAATACCTTGCTAAAAATATCAATAGAATGAGAACAATTGGGTTGTCTTACTGATGCGGAACGTTATGCACGATGTGTACACAAACACTAAAAAATATCAGTTATTCGGACTAGGACATAAAAAGGTTACCCTGTTTCTATACCCACATGAATGTAGCTTTTATGCAAATCTGTCAATATAACTGCCCAATTTAGATCGTTTTTGGATTTTGGACACACATTTTTATGTTCAATGAAATACATCAGATAAACATCAGACATCAAAGGGTAAGTACACACTACATTTGTCTTGTCGTAATGCTCAGATTTCTGCATGGGGGCTGCAGGTGAGTGTTTTGTGAGCTTCATCCAGTTTATATCAAATATGCACATTTATGTAGCAGATGCTTTTAGAAATATTTTTTTTTCTGGGCCACATAGATGTGCATGCTCACTGCAGCCCTACGAATTGCTGATATGGTGTTTTCTACCATTTGAAACCACTGTGCAGTAGAACACCCATCCAGCTACTACACAGAACAGTAGAATATGAGCTTGCCCTAAGGATTCTCAGATGATGGATGAAGGATCTGCCCAATAAACAACCATCCCTTTTGGAAGGATATACTGATATATATATATATATATATATATATATATATATATATATATATATATATATATATATACATACATACATACATACATACATACATACATACATACATACATACATACACTGAGCAGGCACCCTTGTCCTTATTTTGAGGAAGTGTATTGCCAGAAAATTTTGTATTGTAACCATCAATTCTTAACCTCAAGATCCGTCATCTAGGGGGCATCTGCAGAGTTCCCAAAGACTTGTGGAACTCTGTCAGTGACATCCTGTCTATGGCACATCAACACATTGTTGCAGTTAAAAGTGTATTCTTCGTGAGCACTGTAAGCCAGTGGGAAGGCATCTGATGCTCTGTTAGTAGAATCTAGTGATATGGAATATGAGCACTAACTAGATACAGAAGTTAAATCCTCACCCTCTGTATTACCCAAGCCCACTGAACTTGCGTTTGAGGCATTTTGTAGATAAATAGGTTGAATCCTTACCCTCAGTATTGCCTCTGCCCCCTAAACAGGAGTATGAGGCACTATGTGGACACATAGGTTGAATCCTGACCCTCCATATTGCCTCAGCCTACTGAGCTGACGTATGAGGCACTATGTAGATACAGTTTCATATGTTAATTCTCACCCCTAGTATTGCCTCAGGCCATTATGCATAACCTCTGAACACTAAAATTGTAACTACTACTACTAATTGAGGCTAGTATGGTTTGTTTATACCACAGCCCATGGTAATGCAATACACTGTAGATCTGTGTTTGACCATGTACAGTGCACTCAATTCACCACAACACAAATGTACTGTATATTCTCTTTGTATTGCATTAACAAAAAATATGCAGGACCTATTTTTATGTCCATTTGACAGCATATTCAAAATAAAATCTTGCTGTCATTGTCAGAGTTCCCCAAGTCATCATAAGATTGTCCGGAAACATGTATCAAATGTTATACAATGCGGAGACACTGTATATATGCCTGTAGTTTGTAAGTGTGTGTGTGTGTGTGTGTGTGTGTGTGTGTGTATATGTATATATATATATATATGTGTATATATATATATATATATATATATATATATATATATATATATATATATTTGCACTGTACATTCACCACAGAGCACATCTCTGACAAAGTCTTCAGAACTGATTCAGTGTTGAGACTGGAGCTGCATTCAGACTGCCATACTAGGAACTATTCTATATCTCCCCTGCTTTTATCCCAAGCACCACATGTGCTCTTGTCTGCCTGGCAAACACTGAAACCTAATCACTTTAATTGGCATCAAGCAGGCCGTAGGGATTGATTTACAATTTAGATCAATGGTTGGATGCATTGTACTGCTGAATGAGTGCACGTGGAGGGAGCGGAGTCAGAATGGACTTGATACAAGTGAAGTTGAATGTTCATTACATAAAGTGCTCTGTAATGAGTGGAGACCCAGCTGCAGCGTAGAGATTTATCTGCATGGTACAGTTTGTTTGAGATGAATTGAGCATGAGCAATAATTGTACGAAGCCTAACTTGCTCAAATATTGTACTATGTGCAGGCTTGTATAATAAAGTTTAGAACCATCTGCTAAGTTTAGTACCCAACAGCAACCATCTCTGATTGTTTTGACTGAGGTATGCTGATGAAAAGTGAATGTAGTAGCTATTTGTTGAGGCTGTTTGCAGAGTTGTTTTTATTTTGCATGTTATTTAAAGCAGAACCCTCCTATCCTTTTACAGTCAAGGAAGTTGCCATCTTTGCTTCTGTTTGATC